TCCCATGGACTGGGTCCTGGACAGCATAAATATGAGAGCAAGCTTAGCACCACATCCAACCTCTCTCTATTTCCTGACTGTGGTGGCCTGAATAGGTATGGCCCCAACAGACTCATGGGTTTGAATACGGCACATAGGAAGTGGCACTATTAGGAGGTATGGCCTTGTTGGATGGAGTAGGTGTGGCCTTGTTGGAGGAAGTGTGTCACTGTGGAGGCAGACTTTGAGGTCTTATATGCTCAAGCTAGGCCTAGTGTCATGGTCTTCACTTCTGCTACCTGTGGATCAGCTCCTTCTCCAGCACCATATCTGCCTGCATGCCACCATGTTTCCCGTCATGATGATAATGGATTAAAACTCTGAAACTGCAAGCTAGCCCCAATTAATGTTTTCCTTTATAAGAGTTGCCATGGTTGTGGTATCTCTACACAGCAATAAAACCATAAGACACTGACTATGCATGAATGTGACCAGCTGCCTCAAGTTCCTGCTGCCATAACTTTCCTTCCATTATCAAATGCATCTCATTCATCTGTATGCTGAAATAAATCTTTTATGCTGCTTCTTGTAACAGAAAAAAAACCCATAACTACTATAGTCTCTCTGCTTCATTATATGCTCAGTGTCATGATGCTGCATCCTCACCAGGATGAGGAATGAGTCAGGAAACCATGGATCGAGACCTCTGAAACCCTGAGCCCATGTGAAGTCTCTCCTCCTCTAAGCTGTTCTTCTCAGAAGTACTGTCACCACAACAAAAAAACTAAACATAAATTAATTGCGAAGTCTCTTCTTATTCATATTTTTCATTTTTTTCAGAAGAGATTAAAATATGAATTCTTAGGGGCTGGAGAAATGGCTCAGTGCACTTGTTACACAAGTCTGAAGACCCAAGTTCTAATCTCAGCCCTCACACAAAGAGCTGGGTGTGGTCTCAAGAGAATGAGGTGAGTACTAGAGCCCCACATATGACAGCCTCCACACATGTGCACAGGTGCAGACACTCCCCCCCCCCCCGCAGGTGCACATACACCACATCTATATGACACACTCACACACAAACACATGCACACAATAAATCAATCAATCATTATACAACAGATTTTCCATCCTGTGTCTGATTCAATACTTTGAAGACTCTTACAATCTAGATCTAATTTGTTTGTCTGTTGTTTTTGTAATATCTGCTTTTGTGTTTTTTTTTTAATCCTCTTCTTTCTATGATGTTTAAAAAACTATCATCATTTGTTCCATGGGCTTCTAGCTGTGGGCATTTTTGTAGCCTGGTTAAGATGGGTTGTTTTTCACAGATCATTTGTACTTTATATTGGGAAAACAGGTCTCTGAGATCCCAGCTCCAGGGGAGGTGAAGCAAGCTCACTGTACACAGTTGAGAGAAGGGAAGTTTAAATGCCATCAGGTTCCTCAGATATCAGGCACTCATCTGAAGTTTTGGTCTCCATGAGTTTTCTTGGGTCACTTTGACAAACCACCATGTGAGATTGCTGAATTGACAGAAATGTATTTACCCCCAGTTATGGGTGTCAGAAGCCCCACTCAAGGTGTGATGCTGAAGGGCCACATTCCCTTCAGAGCCTTTAAGGGGGTGGTCCTGTCTACCTCTTCCAGCCTTAAGCATTCCTTGGCTTGTGGCATCACAGCTCCAACCTCTGCCTCCAGCTTCACATGGCTGTCTTCTTCCATGTTCATCTTGGTTCAAAATTTCTTCTTTAAAGGATACCAGCCACATTAGGTTAGTGTACACCCTGATCCAGCACGACTTTATTGTAGCCTGATTACACCTGTGGAGACTACTTCCACAGAAGCTCAGATTCCCAGGTAAGGAATTAGAATTTCTGGACATTTGGGGGGAGGGATTCAATCCAGCCCATACCAGTTTCTACCTATTTCTTATGTCCTTGCCAGCTCTGAGACACATTTTTATGTCCTTGAACTTTCTGAGACACAAAGTATACAGCATTTCAGTCTTCTGTTTATGTCTGCTCTTATTTCTTACTTGTTCATCCTGCTACAATGGCTCTCTCTTTCCTCACTGCCTTGTGGACTCAAAAACCAGGGATGCGGGCAGGGGGCTTACTAGACTTGAGTGTAAAATAAGAGTCAACATGCGAGACCGAGTCTAAAGGAGAAAGAAAGCACAAACATTGTGATACTTCTTGGGATTTCAAAGGACCCCGGTCCTGGGCTTGATCACTGTGGTGTGTTTATTGAGCCATAATGACCCAGACTGAAGTCTTTTCTCTGCACTTTACAGATTTCATGACCTTGAAACACGTGCAAGTTTTTAATTTCAGTTTCTTCTACTGATAAAGGGGGATACCATAAGAAGGTCTACTTTGGCGTATTCTGTGGATAGGTAGCATTTTTTAAATGCCCTGGGGTTGGGAAGAGGGCTCAGCTACTAATGTAGGCATGAAGACCGGAGTTCAGACCCCAGACCCACATGATGCTGCAGTGGTGAGACGTTTGCAATTCTACCCTCAGAAGGCTGAGGCTAGATCCCCAGTGCAGGCTGGCTAGCAAGACAAGCCAAATGTGAGTGCTGGGTTTGACTGACAAGTCCTGCCTTACAGAATTCAGTGGGATGAGGATGAGTCCAGACGTCAACCTTGGAGCTTCCACATGCAGAGGAACCTGTGTGCATGCACACCCACACTCATACAAAATTAAACAATGCACACCCCACATGCATGCACACATGGAACATGGAGAAAGAAAAAGAGAATGTCTAGCAGGATCCTAACATACAGCAGGTGTTCAATATGTACAAATATTTTTTTATTTTCATGTTCTAAAATAGGTAAGGGCTTTGCACAAGTTGCTGGTGCATAAGCAGATGTGATGAGCTGTGTCTTCAGTTTGGCACACAATCCTGAGGGGTAATTAGAAATACTATTTTCTCAGGGAGGAAACTGAGGTACTTGAGATATTAGCTCATAAAGCACAAGAGAAAAATAGGTAGCAATAACCACACATAGGAGGCTATCCCAAAAGAAAATGATCAGAGATTTTGCACCCTGTCAAGGAGGAACCAGAATACAAATGAACTGGTCTCTCCCTGTGTGCTTAGTTCCGCCAGCTTACAGGGGCTGGGCCCTGCTCTAAAAGCCTCCCTTTCCTCTGCCATCAATGATGCTTCATCTCTGTCCAGTGGGAGGAGAGGGATGGAGGGAAAAACAAAGCCTGGCGATATTTTATACTTTATTTGAAACCCTGAACACGAAAAGACCCAAAGATATTTTAACACATATTCAAGAGCCTCACCCAGGCCCACACTCCAAAATAGCTTTATAATTTAAGGAAGGCAAGCCAGACATCACCACCACTCTGTGATTGACTCACACATATGTTGGAAGCAGAGTTCACAAATCTAATTCCTTTCCCCATTTCTGGACATTTTTACCCAAAGAACACAAGTGACCGGAGGCGGTGCTGCCCGCTCAGCCGATTCCTGACAGCTGCTCCTGGTGAAACAGATTGTGTTTGGGGGCAAGCATTTATCCAGGAGCAGTGCTGAAATGAGATGGCGGGAACGCCAGCGGGTGGTGAATAAATGACCAGCGGAGGGAGAGCTGGAGAAATGAGGGTGATTATGCAGGCGCTGTCCTCTATGAATACATTAGCTCCCCATCAGCCTGTGCATTCCCACTGCCTCTGAAGCAATTGCTTGGAGTGCCAGTGAATACAGGTGTCTGAAGTATTTTCCAAGCTCAGCTTCATACAGGCAGTTCTTTCAGCCAGTCCTCAAAGCCTAGTGTTAAGTCTGGGGTGAGCTGGGCCCCAGAGCACTGTTTGGTCTTTCAGGGATTATGGGATGGATGCTCCCTGTTGGCATCTGGTCTCCCTTGCAGGGTTAAGTAGAGGGTTGCCCGGGGCCAGCTGCTTGCTCTGTGGAGTGGGAATAGGAGGCTAAAGGTAAGAGGAGGGTAGATTCTTAAGTGGGAACTGAAGGTCTGGACCTAGAGACACCAGGTGCATGTACTTTGTCCAAAGGGTCAAAGGTGGAGTCAGTTGGACCAGATTTTGGAGGAAGTCTGCATGAGGTATGAACGGGCTGGCTGTGAGAAGGAAAATTTCACAAGAAAAAGATACCAGGAGGTACAAGATCCCCTCTAAGGCCAGCAAACCTATAGTATGTGGGTGATGGGTCATTAAAGACAGATGGAACGATTACAGGGATATGTTAAGACTCAAGCCATGGGTTTGTCAGGGGCACTTCCTGGACGTGATAACCCTTTGTTATAGCCATCAGTACATTTTTACCAAATGCCAGGACACCCAATATACCTTCCTGATTGAGGAGGGGGGTCATTCTGGGTTGTCTCTTTCACAGGCCAAGAGGAAAGAGCCAGGAAGCTTAGTAAATGTTCTCGTAGGGTAAGAAAGAGAATGGCACCTCCCACAGAGTCACACCATGAGCTAATAGCTATAGAGAGCCCTCAGCATCAAGGTGCAGGGTAGCCTGTGGGTCTGGCTATTACTATGGAGGGTCAGAAAGCCACAGGAAGTGAGTGTGGCTGTGTTATACTGTCTATTCCCCAGGAGTTTATTTCTTGTTAGAGCTCATATAACCATCTTTGGGAATATTCTATGGTCCACTGTGGAGAAGACAGCCATGGGGAAGTGACTCTGAGGGTCTCTCTTGTCCAGCTGGTCCTCTATGTCTACTGTTGCTTACCCCAACCCATTCGTTTAGTCTTAACAAATGTGCTAAGCTGGGAACCTGATTCTCTAGGCAAGCAAGCTCCGAAGGCCTCTTTTCCCTGAAAATTCAGGAGGCTCTGCTCTGAGTTTCCATGGCTCCAGCTACGTCCATGTACCAGGGCTAGGAACTAGACATTCAGAGTCAGTATGTGAGCCTCAACTTTTAGCCGCCTTTGTGTTGCGAACTAAAGACAACTCAACACTACACCACTAGTCTCACTCACTCATCCTCTCATGGGAACTGAGCTCGGCCCTGTGGGAGAAACTCCACTCACCCTGATGCCAAGCTCCACATTCTCGCCTCCATAGACCTCCATGCCTTCGTCCAGCAGGCCAATCTCCTGGAAGTACTGCCGGTCCACAATGAAACAGCCAATGAGGGCGGGGCTCCTGTGGGGTGAGACAGATGGCCAGCTGTGAGTAGAGACTGGTCTGAGAGTCACTTGAGGATGAAGAGCTCCCAACTGCAAGGGTCAGTGCCCCCACCTCTGCTGCCAGGCCCAGTGGGGCCTCATTCTCTGGGTAGGCTCCCAGAGCCACCTTCATGCAGACACTTACAAGCAAGTTGCTCAAGACAGTGGGTGATAGCTCTTGTTCTGGACCAGCCATTGCTTGGCATTGTGCAAGCTGGTGCGTTAGCAATGGGGAAGGTGTGTACCACTCACTCTATTGGTATAGCTTGCTTCTTTGGATTTTGAGCCACATGGCCAGACTTCTTCAGCCTGGACTTTCCCATCATCCCCCATGGGGGCACTACATGTCAACCTCTGTTCACTTAGAAAGATCAGTGAGAACCAGGTTGTAGAAGGCTTTGAGCAGGATAGAAAAAAATATTTTATAGATTTCATCTATAGGTGAATGGTTGGCCATGACAAATTTCAAGCAGAACAGCATTATGAACAGGTATTTTTTTTTTAAATAAGGAATACTCAGGCAGGCTGGAATGTAGCTCCGTTAGTGAAGTGCTGCCTAGCATACCTGAGGCCCTACCTGAGTTTGATCCTCCACATTGTATAAACTAGGCACAGTAGCATACTCCTGTGATCCCAGCACTCAGAGGCAGGAGGATCAGAAGTTCAAGGTCATGATTAGCTATCTAGAGAGTCCCAAGTTAGCCTGGATAATATGAGGGGACATTACAGGGTAGCTGGCTGGAGGAGATAAGGATGCTGGTGAAAAACCCAGTGGGGAGTTGTATCTGTGTCCAGCAAAGGTGGTAAAGACAAGGGATTTGGAAAGGGATGGAGTAAGAGGGACAGAGGTCATCACTGATCAGATGTTATAGGTGCCAATGATTCTGGTTCAGAGGCTCAGAGAGGCTGAGGAGCTGCTCAAGATTCACAGCCAGAGGGTGGTCATTCCCACAATGCTCACCTCTTATATCTGGGTTTGATGTTCTCCATCTGAGCAGGGTCACACACACACACACACACACACACACACACACACACACACACACACACGTATGATACCCCTGCAGTCTGTGGAAGTGAAGTCATACAGAATAAAGTCTGATGGTGTGACCCCAGGGAATCCATGTGGCTGAGCATCCCCCTGCACCAGCACGAATGAATTCCCTAAGGAAATAGTCCTTTCTGAACCTGTTTCTAGTTCCAAAGATGAGACCAGTTGCGCTGACTAAGTTTTATCACCCCTAAGGGTTCTTCAGTCTCACCTTTCCTCCTCTCACTCCTCCAGCCTGGCCTGGTATCAGGGAAGGGTGAGGGCAGCAGATGACCAACAATGCAGAGGCAGCCCCTGGTGTTCCTGCTGACTTCTCTGGTGGTAGAAATTCTCCATGAAGCCCTGCACTGAGGAGCTAGTGATCCCCACTCACATACACCCCAGTGCTGTAGTGTAGCTCTAGCCTAAGATCCCACCTGACCTCAGCTCTAGGCATCTGTCACACTATCCTGCTGGTGTCTCACTGGTAGGGGAAGATCAGTTTCCCAGGACCAAACTCTATGTCCTTCTGTAGATAGCTTCACTGATAATGTAGCTAAGTGGTAGAGTAATTGACTGGCAAGCTGAAGGCCCCGGGTTTGATCCCTGGTACCTAAGAAAAAGGTGTTTCCTGAAAGCATCTGCTCCAGCATGTCTCACACCTTGCATTGCTGAGTTGTGCTGGCCCTTCATTACCCAGGTCTCTGAACCAGAGTCATTGATACCTATAACATCAGATCAGTGATAACATCCTGTGGGTAAAGGGCTTGAAGGCTCTGGACATGACCAACTCTTAGAAGATCCCTTGTGCAGTGAACAAGCTCTGAGATTCACCTTTCTAAATAAAGATGGTTGGAAGCATGGGCCAGCAGATTGGGGTCTTCACCGTTTCTTCTGTACTTCTCAATATTGGTTGCGATGGGGCTCCTGAGAACAGCACTCGGAGCATGTGGGAAGGGGCTTTCCCCTGACTTCCAGACTCAGCTAGGGAAGGCACAAAACCCTCAATTGTCAGTTGCTCTAATGAGCACAGACAGCTCAGGTGGTCAGTCACTTAATAACTAGACGCTGCATTAAGAAGAATTAGAATAAACAGCCCCTCATCCCTAAAAGGATTAGACACAGCTTATAAAAACCCTAAAATCTGGTGGAAAATGTAAATAACACCTAGGAAGACCTAAAGAGTACAATAGATTTGGAGCCAGTTAGAAAGCAAGTATAGGCTGGGGCTCTCTGTCATAGTTCCTTGTGTGTGTGTGTGTGTGTGTGTGTGTGTGTGTGTGTGTGTGTGTGTGTGTACCAAGTGAGTGCAGGTGCCTATGGAGACCAGAAGAGGGCATAAGATCCCCTATAGCTGGAGTTACAGGTGCTGTGAGCTGTCCGATATGGGTGTTAGGAAACAGGTCCTCTGGAAGAGAAGCATCTGGAAGAGAGTCATCTCCCTAACTCTCCATCTCAGTTCTTAAAATGAGCCCAGATGTTGGCTCTGAGCTTCCTGTTAGGCTAAATGAAAGGGAACACACAGATTTTTAGAAACAAAATTCATAGTTTTTGGATAGAAATGCAGTGATTTTTTTTTTTTTTACTAGTAATAGGTTTTGGTGGATTTTCTTGAGTGAGTCAGTCAGAGACCTTGGGGACCCAGTGAATAACCAACTTAAAAATGACATTTCACACTACAGAGGCAAGTGCTGAGCTCTCTTTACAGTAACATGTGGGCAAAACACTAAAACACAGCTCCAAAGAATGATGATCTGGGGTGCTTATAGTGTATTTGTATAAAATCTGTCTCCAGTGGGCCTGGCTGTCTTCATATCGGGATAAAACCAGAAATGATCTAAAGTTTCCAGAATCTCATTTCTCTCACCAACATTCCTAATAAAAATTAAGTGGCGATGGAAAATAAATGGTCAAGATGATATCTTCTGGCAAAGTCCTAGAGTGCAGCTCTGCTAATGATTAAGATCATCCCAGTGCGTTTGGTGGTGAGTAGAATAGAGAAAGCTAAAATCCCCACTCTTCTGCAGGAATACTCACAGCACAGTGGCTTATTTCCCTCTGATAACATTGGGCAGACTGAGGCGAGAATGAGTCACACAAGTTGTGAACTCAACAGTAATCAAGCAGGGGGTGATAACAGCTCACAGAGTCTGGCTGACCCTAGTAGAACCCAGCTTCATTGCTGAAGCCCTTGGTAGGACCATTCTCCTGTCTCAGTCTTGCTTCAGCCTTGCTCTTGTCTTGTTGAACAGGGATGGCACCATGAGTTGATACCAGGTTATACTGTGGCTCCAACAGACCATGTGTGTAAAAGGCCCCAGCATACAGCATACATATAGCATGCAGGCTCCCAACAAATTATTAGCACACAATTGTGTAGGCAGCTGCTGTGGTTTGGATATGCTTTGAGTCTGTCCCCACCAAAGGGTCCCATGCTGGAAGCTCAGCATTGAGTGGTAGGAGGTCTCTAAGAGGTGCAGTCTTGCAGAAGGTGAGTGGATCCCAGGGCAGCCACACTCAGAAAGGACTGTTGTAATGACTATGGAAATGATCCCTGAAGGTATAGCTTGTGGTTGTGGCTGCTTGCACACAAAATCAAGCCAGTTAAAATTCCACCAGGGATGGATGAGGAGCTTACAAAGGCCCACCCACACCTTCTGTTGATGGCTGTTGGCAGAGGGGGAATCGGTTTTTATCAGGGATGAAGCTCTGGTAGGGCTCTTATGCTTCAGCAGGTGGCCCTACACTCATGCACTGCCATTACTAATTGGACTCAGTGGGGAAAAAAATGAAGACACAAAATTTGAAGGTTTGTGTGTGGGGGGGTGTCTGGGAGGAGCTGGGGATGAGGGGTGAATCTGATGAAAAGACATTTGGGTACATAAATAAATTTCTCAACGAATAAACAAAATGCATGAGAATGAATAGATGTAGTTCTGGGGGGATCAGATTGATTCTTGATGCAGACATGTCCAACTTTTTCACATTGTGGTATGATGCTGTCACCTACAGCCATACTTGGTGGCAGTCATACCTATCCTGGGAGGCACACATCCCAGGGCCACAGATTAGAAACATCCTGAAAGCAAGCCCATTTTCCATACTCAGCCTCTCCATGTACAGCTCTTCTCCTTTTTGCCCATGCCATGGATGGCATCTGCCTTGTCCTAACACATCAAAAGGCCTTCACCAGAGGCTGGCCAGGTGGGGCCACTAAGTCTCAGATGTCTAATACTATGAGTTAAATAACCATCATTCTTCATAAGTTACCCATCCTCTGGTATTTTGTTATAGCAACACAAGACAGATTGAGAAAGTCATAAAAGAAACTTCAGGACTTTTCTTCCATCCTGTTTCCTGGATGAAATTTTTTCTTCCAGGAATAACATTTGTGAGACTGAATGAAATTTTTCTGAATAGGGATGCAGAAAACAACTTCTCTCCATCTTTGGGGAGAATTGAATGAAAATTTTCATAATCTCTCTCTCTTTCTTGCAGAACAAAGTGAGACTGGACTTTGATTCCAAGGCGGCCCCCAAGTCACCTTCTGGTGCCATCTGTCTGTTTAATGGTGGGAAGTAGATGTCTGCCCTGTCACCAACACACAGAAATAGGGCTGGCAGGGCTGACTGCTACAGGAGTCCTGAGGCAGCAGAGGGAAGTCAGTCAGGGGCCTAGGCGTACAGTATCAGAGGCAGAAGAGTGTGGGGTTTGGGAAGTGCAGTTGGAGGTCATTTGTGCCTGTGCACTACAGGATAAAACTCAAACATCATCCAGGTACACTTGTCCCATGGTCTGGTTTGACCTCATGGCTGGGGCTGCCCAGCTCATATCCCTCCTTAGGGTCTCTCTGAGTCTCCCCTGTGACCAGAAGTGTCACATATGAGTGTCACTCTCAACCTAGCCATCTCCTTCTCACCCTTGGAAATCAGTTCAAATGCTTCCCTTCCCCTGCTGTACACATGCTTTCTACCCATGAGGCAGGATTATCACTCATCCCCTGATGTGGTTCACCCGCACTGTATTCCAGGCTTGGAGAGCTTGGAAATCAATCTTACTCCGACTCTCTAGCATTGACTCTAATACTTTATACTTAGCAGCTATACATGGTGATGTGTACAAATGAGTAACTTTGGGGTCATAGATGCCCCGCTCTTAAGAGTGCTTCCCACTCTTCTTGAGGACCTGAGTTCAGTTTCTACTACTCACATTAGCTGGCTCATAATAGCTTGTAACTCCAGTTCCAGGGGATCTGACACCCTCCTTCCCCAGGTACTCACACACTCAAGCCATCACACACACACACACACACACACACACACACACACACACACACACCTAAATAAAAAAAAATAATTTTTTTTTAGTTTTTTTTTTTTTAATTATTGTCTTTGAGACTCTGGAGTTCTAATTGCTCCCCTGGTTCTTTGAAAAGGGACCTGAGAGCTTGTGAGCAGAGTCTGAAGATGACACTGTAACTCTTGTCTACCTTCCCCTCTCTCTGGCACCCACACTGGGCCTGGGCAGGGAGGGAAGCCCTGTCGGACGGCCGAAGCAGAGAGAACAGTGAGGAAGGGTTCCACACCTGATGGGGGCTGTGGAGTTCTCCAGCTTCCACCAGGCCTTGGGTGGGTTCAGGTAGCGGCACCACAGCTCCCAGTCAAAGCCTTGGGCGGCCAGTGGGTACTCTTCTATCTCAAAGTTGTCATATTTGATGTTATCGAAAGATGGCGAGATGATCCGTTTCCGATTTTCCTTGATGCGGGTGAGGACTGGTTCCGCCCTGAGCAGGAAGGGAGAAGAGATCAGTCACTGTTGTCAAGGTGGGCAACAGCTGCATGAGTAGCTCACCATGGTCAGCAGCAAGAAGAAGGAACCCTTGTTCCCCAAAGATGGAGAGAAGTGGTTTTCTGCATCCCCAGTTGACTTCCCCTGGACTTTGGGGTTGGCAAGGAGCCCAGCAGACCATTCAGTACAACCAGAGCTGAACCGAGAGATTCTCACCCAGCCTGTGTGATTGTTCCACCCTCCCCCCACACACAACAAAAATCAAGATTAAAAAAAGAAGAAGAAGAAAAAGAAAGAAGGAACAGATTTGAGGCTTTAGAGGAAACTGTCAACCTGGGTTTTGATTTTGCTTGAACCAACCTGGAGGAAGAGGCGGGTGGTATAGGCAAAGTTACATTCTCCTTTGCCTCAGGAAGGGTGGGCATCCAGGCTTCCCCCAGGGACTGGCAGTCCCCTCTGGGTGGCAGGAGAATAATGTGTTTGCCGACAGGAATGATAAGCTTCTCATTAATAATATATTCTGTGCATAATTGTTTATTCAAATCAGCTCGAAATAGTAAGTGTCCCCCTCCTTGCTGGCCATAAATCCAGTGGAAATGCTTTTTAAATAGTCACAGATAGCTCACAGGGACTTCGAGAATAAAAAATGAGTATTCTGAAGCCTTGGTGTAGGTCTGTGATGCCAACATCCTTCCCAGGCTTCCTGTAGGCCAGCCACTCCTTGTTGCCAGCATGCTCTCCACACCCTGCTCCCTCGAGGCAGAGGGTGGCACCATGGAGCTAGGAAAGGGGGTAGAGACACTGAGGCCATCAAGCACGTGAGGAAAGAGGGCAGGAAACTATGTATCCCAGCTATTCAGTCAACCTTAGCATCTGCCTCCATGTCCAGGCAGTGCCATGCACAGTGAGCAGAACCGCGCTGTCCTAGCCCTGCAAGGATATCAGTATCAGGTGCCCTCTGAGGGTTCAGTAGAAGCTACAGAGGCCACTTGTCAGCTCTTACTTATCCCATCTGGCACCTAGATGGCCTGGCTTGACAAAGGAAGACTCAGTAAGGCTCAGTTTTGCTGGGATGGAGGTTCTGAGGGCATTTGAGGATACAGGAAGCCTCCTTTACCCACCTCTGCCCATTTGGTCTTGCTCTGTCTGTGAGCTGAGGCATCTGTCTTGTATCTGCTCCAACTCTGCTGCCTGCAGACAGTGGAGCCCTGTGCTCAGCTGGACACAAACTCTCCACTTTTTTTGTTGTTGTTAAGATTAAGTTATTTCTATTTTATGTGTATGAGTGTTTGGCCTGCATGCATGTGTGTGTGCAATGTTTGTGCAGTACCTGACAATGCCAGAAGAGGGCAATGGATCTCCTGCAACTGGAGTTACAGATGGGCATCAGCTGCCATGAGGGGACTGGGAACTGAATATGGGTCCCTTGCAAGAGCAGCCAGTGCTCTTAACCACTAAGCCATCTCTCTGCTTTGTTCTTTATATATATTTGTCTTCCTGATTGGTATTTTGGAATATTAGTTTAAGATGTCTTGCATTCTTTCATGCTGTGGAATATTTGTTTAATGATCTGTTGTATTCTTTCATGTTACATTTGTTTAACTCTGTAAAGCTATGTTACTTTGCCTGCCTAAAACACCTGATTGGTCTGATAAAGAGCTGAGTGGCCAATGGCTAGGCAGGAGAAAGGATAGGTGGGGCTGGCAGGCAGAGAGGATAAATAGGAGAAGAAATCTGAGAAGCAAGAAGTGAGAAAAGGAGGAGAGGAGGACACAAGGGGTCAGCCACCCAACCACACAGCCAGCCATAGAATAAGAAGGAAAGAAAGATAAATAGAATAAAGAAAGGTAAAAAGCCTAGAGGCAAAATGTAGTTAAAGAGAAACAGGATAATTTAAATTAGAAAAGCTGACTAGAAACAAGCCAAGCTAAGGCTGGGCATTCGTAAGTAAGAATAAGTCTCCATGTATTTATCTGGGAGCTGGGTGGCAGGCTACATCACGTGTTACCACACCTTTCAGGTTCTGACCCCTGACTCTTTGGCCCTGCTTGAGGCCGATCCCTACTGCAAGATTTGGCTCACTCACACACCCATACCTCAGCTGTCCCCACAACCCTCTTCTTTTCCTCCAGCTCATGACTAAGATCCCAGAATGCCCTGCACTTGAGTCGGACCCACTGGATCACACTGGACCCATTCCTCTCCCTGAAGCACTCACCAGCCCACATTGAACTCCACGTGGGCATCGAACAGCGCCACCACAGGGGCCGTGGCTGCCCTCCAGCCGCTGACCCTGGAGCGGATGAGGCCTTCCTGCTTGCTGTGGCGCACGACTTTGATGAAGCCTGGCTTCTGGCCATTCACCTTGTCCACGTACTCGGTCAGCTTCTCTTTGAGCTCCTCTGTTGGTGAGAAAACAGCTGAATGAGAGCAAAGGGAGAAGCAGCCAAAGCATTCACAGTACCTAGGTGAAATGCTACCCCTACCCAGGAGGCACGAGCATCCGCCCCACTCTTCAGGTTTTCACTGGCCCCCAGTGGTGGCCAGCACAGCTCAGCTTTGAGGGAAAACAGGAAGATGGCATTTATTTAGCCTCAGTATTATACACTTACTCACACACATTGTCTAGCTCACCAACACAGCAAGGCAACAGGAAGGTGGGGGGTTGAGAGAACTAGTCAGTTTCCCCAGTTTACACAGCATGTGAGTGTCAGAGGCAGGTTTACACTTGGTCTATGGATTTGACCAGCCTGGGCCATCAAAATTTGGAATATGATATAGTGTTCCCTATAGGCTCATGTGTTTGGACATGAAGTCCTCAGCTGGTAGCACTGTCCTCAGAACTGTTTGGGGGTCCCAAGAAGTGACATCAAGCCACCTTTGCCTCCACTTGGTGCTGCCCTGTCTGTGAGGGAGGGCATCAGTTTCTGATCCACTCCAACTCTGCAGCCAGCCTCCAGGTAGTGGAGCTCTGTCCTTGGCCAGGCAGGAACTCACTGCCTTGCCTTTTCCCTGGCCACATGTCTCAGACAAAGATGCTAGCTAGGGCCACACCTGGGCTACCACATCTTTTAGGTGTTGATCCCTCACTGTCCTGTCCTGCTGGACACTTGGCTCTATTACAAGGGTCACTTATACACACCCACATTGCAGATGTCTCCCAGAATCCTCTCTCCTCCTTCCAGCCCATGACTGAGATACCAACATGCATTGCATTTCTGAGCTGAAACCCCTGGATCACACTGGGACTCTTCCTCTCCCCAAGTCACTCACCAGCTCACACTGAACAACACATGGAGGTCATGGAACATTTGTGAGGTGGGACCTAGCTAGAGGAAGCAAGTCACTGGGGGGTGGGTCTATAGTCCACTCTGCTTCCCAGCAGCCAGTACGCTTATAACAAGCCACCTCACATGCTCTGGATAATGATTTTGAAGGAATGTCTCTTGCCAAACCATGAGCCGGAAGAAAAAAAAAAAAACTTCTCTCCCCTTAAATTGTTTCTTGTCAGGTATGTGGTCACAGCATGAGAAAAGTAACTAATCAACCAGGCTTCTTGTTGGCTCAGCTGCCTCCCGCCCAGCCCCCTCCATTGCTCCTGCTGCCAATCGGAGAAGCCCCAGTGGACGATACTTTAGCTTGGACTGCCTGGATCATGTTTCTGGGAGGTCAATGGCAAGCAAGCACTGTGCTGTGGGAACAAGGGGGCCGGTGGGCTGCTACCCACAGTCACTGGGCCTGGCTTGGTATGCACCATGCTGTTTCTCTATCTTTACGATGGGTGTTCTCAGCCTGGGAGGACGCAGTGGCCATGATCATTATGCTTCATAGCAGGGGAAACAAGAACCTGGGACTGCTCACAGTCCGTTGAGCAGAATTCATTTTGAGCCAACTACCTATCACCAGGAGCAAATCTATCAGGGCATGTTGAGTCATGGGTGAGGTACTTCTGTATTCCATATTGAAGCAAGGAACTTGCACATACTCGATGTTAATATCCCAGCTTGTATACACCAAGAACAATGTTCTAAGACACTGATGAGGGCATGCTGTGGGGGTTGCTGCTGAAGGGTCCACACAGGATTTCCCCCTTTCCAAGTTGAGTTCATACCCTCCCTTGTCTATCTCAAGGGACCTGAAACTCCAGTTTTCCCTTTCTGGCTGCCCAGAAGCTGAAGCCCAGCAGATGAGTAGACATCGCAGACCCTCTGACCCCACTGAAGCGATGCTAAGATCTGAAAAAGATGACAAATCCATGACCTCATGCAGAGTAGACACAAGTTAGCTGACAAGCTGCCCGGAGACCCATACCCTGACTGCAATTCTAGTCCAAGCAGCGTTTGATAGCTGAAGCCAGTGACTTCTGGGATTGTCTTCAAACAAAGCAGTGTGAGCTGTTCTGATGCAGAGGGGCGTTGGAATAAGAGTGGGACACAGAAATGGTATCAGACACAGAAGGGTCAGCTGAGAAGACACAGCAAGTGTGACAGATTCCGTTTTGCTAAAAGTTTTAGTTCCTTTACAACCTCTGTCACCAGGGAGCCAGACAAAGGCTGCCGATGGGCAAGTCTGCCTTCAGCCAGCTGAATTCCAAACATGCTCAGATTCAAATGTGTGCCAGTGACTGCTAATGCTGAAAAGGGAGAAAGAGGACTGGAAGGGAAGGGGTGAGGGTAGAGAGGAGGAGGGGGAGGAAGACAGGGTCGGGTAAGGAGAGGAAAAGGGCATTGAAGCGCTAAAAATATTCCAGATGATGGATGAGTCTGGTCCAGTCTTTGCAAAGTACTTTTACCTAATTCAACTTGCATGTTTTCCTCCAACCTTTGTCAATTGTTAAATAAGTGTGAGATACCTAAAGGTACCTGCATGTTCTCAGAAACCTGTTTTCCAGCATGTTGCCTATGAGATATATATCATATATATTAATATTATTATAAATGAATGTATATTATATATCTTGCTAAATATTTTATATATTTAAAGTATTTCTCAGAACTTGTTGCAAAATAGAAAAATGTCTCTTTCACTTTATAGCTAAACACAAGCACATAACAGATCACACATGCCTTTAGCTAAGGCTCCTGGGAAGCTTGGGGATAAATATAATGACTAACCATCATATTTGATCTACATTTTTACTTTCAAAGTTCTAACCTGAATGATTAAAAAAAATTTTAACTTTTCTCCTATGTAAACTATAGGAAAAAGTGTGGGTTGTTTATTTGTTGGTGGGGGTGGGTGGTGGGGAGGGGATGTGTACTGGGGATTGAGCCCAAGACCTCATGCATGCTGCATGCTAAGCAAGCAACCTACCACACAACTACATACATACATACATACATATACATATACATATACATATACATATACATATATATATATTAATTTTGAGACAAGTTCTCAGTAAATTACCCATGCTAGCCTTGAACTGGTGATTCTTCCTCAGCCTCCCAAGTAGTTGGGATACTAACTGACCATATACCTCACTGAAAAGTATTTTAAAAAAAACAATATAAATAATGTTTCAGAAAATATCATAGTAGAGCAGGATAGATGAGAAACTACAGAATGGAGAAGCTATACTTTGCACTTAATGCAGCATGCTGGGAAGCCAGGAGGTAGGAGGTCTGCTCTTTGTGGCTTTTCCAGACTCTGAGTAAATGCTGGAGCTGTCCACAGCCAGTGCTGACAGAGAAACACAATTTGTGTCCTGCATGGGGCCAAGCACCCTCCTGTTTGTTTGGTGCTTCCAGCCCTCTCCTGCTGTCCACAAATTCCTGCTCTGCTGACATCTGAGGCACTTCAGTAAGCTGTGCTGATGATACCCTGAGAGCGCACAGGCCATGCTCCATGGCCCCATAAGGAGTGATCCCCAAGAGCCCATCACACTCCTTCAGACCAACGAGAAGTGGGGAATCCCACAGCCAGGATGCACACAACTCTTTCTCTATATCTGCCCCATTGTGGTGCTTCTGTGGTTCACCAGCCAGTCCAGAGTGATGACTCACAGGCTGGACAGAAGGTGAGGCACCCACCCACAACTGTTAATCAGGTTTAAATTCTTAGCTGGACACCATGGTCTTTAGTGTGAAGGAAATCAAAACATTGGGAAGTTGGTTTGCACCAGCCTCTCTGCTCTTGGAAGGCAGAGGCATGGATGTTTTGTAGAAGATTTTGGCTAGACTTGCCATAGGCAGGCAGACCAGTACCTCTTCTTTATCTTTTAGTGTTCAGGGGATCATCCCCTCTGTGTGCTGTCAGTCTCAGGGGAGCAGGACTGAAGGGAAGACTGCTCATCCATTTGTTCATTTTTCCATTCAATAACTATCATATACTTCCCAGTTGCTGTGTTTGTGACTGTGAGCAAGACAGTCTACAGTGGACTGAGTGTTTGGGCCCCACTCAATGCTTGTTGAAATCCTAACCTCCATGTGATGGCATCAGGAGGTGAGGGATATGGGAGTAATCAGGTCATATGGGTAGAGTTGTTGTCCAAGTCCTTCCTAGAATCTGGGTGTAAGGAGTACACACACTAGGTCATTTATGAAATGGAGATCCATTTCATCAGAGTTCAGTTGGCTAGACTATTTAAGATGAAGTCACCAGCATCTCATGTGGGAAGGGTAGAGGAGGAAACTCGCTGTTATTCCTACATGGCATGAAATGAAGGGTGAAGTTGGTGGAATGCTCTTAAAGCCTCTTTGGTAAGGGCTTTAGTCTCATTCATAAAGGAAGAGCCTGCATGCTGCTGCTTCTTCTCCTTCTTCTTCTTCTTCTTCTTCTTCTTCTTCTTCTTCTTCTTCTTCTTCTTCTTCTTCTTCTTCTTCTTCTTCTTCTTCTTCTCCTTCTTCTCCTTCTTCTTCCTCCTCCTCCTCCTCTTCTTCTTCATCATTATTTAATGTTTCCCATTTTAAATGTCCAGGGTCTTCAAAGACTTCAATGTCATGGAAGTCT